GTGTGAAGCGCGTGCCAAATCCTTTTGCAGGTTTATTTAGGTTATTTAAATTGGCTTGCATCTGGAGAAGATCTGAACCAAAGAATGCATCATCGTCTGTATACTCAGTGTCTGTGAGGGAACGTCGCGGGAGCATTTTGACTCCCAGGATTCCAGAAGAAGGCAGTGTAATATTAAACAGCATATGAATAACAAATGTGAAGAGGAAAGGGGAGGAAGAACAGATCAGTCTTACACCACTGGATGTGGTGAACTCAGGCAAAAGCTTCCCATGTACTCAGCGTTCTGGGATAACCCTGTGGCACGCTCAAGAGTGTCTGAAAGCCTCATGCTCTTTTTCAAGTGACCCTTGGAATTCCGTAAGCGACTGTTGATCACATTGACAAGGTGGATCATACCGAATCATCAGTGTGCAGCCCACCTGCGAATGATATGCAACCAGTGGGTCGTGAGGTAGGAGGTGAAGCTTGGGCCTGTGTGGCTGATAATTCGTAGGTTTTAGGCGTAAACAATGTGCTGGAAAACTGACAGTGATGCACTATTTAAATAAGTCATAGGGTGGAACTTAAGTCTGTTGATGGCAGCGCCAATGACCAAAATACACGGATGGTACGCAATACGTATGCGCTATATTGACAACAGACTCGAACGCGACCCAACCCGGGAGCAGATGCGCCGCGACTTGCCCATACCGGGCGCAGTTTTTGCTGAACAGCTTACGCATGTGAATGAACTGTTTGGTTTCCTCAAAAACGCACATGGCACACAGGCCATCCATGATCAGGAAAGTGTAGCTGCGCTCCATACATTAGTTGCTTTGAATAAATCACCCAGATATGTTCACTGGTCATGTATTCCACCGATTTTATGACGTCTGGAAAACGTGAGAACAGCGCTGTCCACGAGGTAAACAAAAACTTCGGCCCTGACACCCTTTTCTTGATTGTGACCTGTTCAGACTTGCGACGCTCCACACCATCCTCAGGCATATCAGTAAGGCCCCACGGGTGCCCAAATCCTCCTAAGTTGCCCAGCACGTGGCGAGCGGAGGGCTCAAGCACAGTCCACGTGCACTGCCTAATTGCTAGCTTTGTTCGCTTAAATGCACCTTCGCTATTATCCAGGCATCTACCTTCCTTACAAAGATATTTCAACGGAGCTTGATGTTTTTATTGCGACACCACTGTGATCATATAAAAATGGTTTTAAATAACCATAGCGTGTACGGAACTAAGTAGTTCGGGAAGGATTAGGGTCTTCTTATAAGTGTCTAGCCCCAAGTAAACCAATATCCCAGCCTTGCGGCATTTTGTCAGGTATTCAGAATCTTTTAAAACGACGTCAATCTGCTCGCAACAAAATAGGGATAGCACGCCACCACAAACAACTGAAATGCACTAGGCGAACTTCACCTCCATAAGCCCCCAGTCATGCCGGCGACTTACCTATCCGTAAATCAGCACTCTCTACAAACGGCATCCCAACTCACATCGTAGTGGGAGCAGCAGATTTCATGTTCGCTTAATAGGTAACAGTAGCATTGAACGGTAGAATATGCACATCTGTAGCATTACCAACAATAGCCAACTTTCCCTAACGAAATTCAAATAGGAAGTGTGGCAGATTCCAGCTGCAAGCCTTGACATGAGTATCAGCTCTCCAAGAGTGTTTTCCACAATTTTCCTTCAGCAAATTTCAAACAAAGGGATCTTGGTCGGAGTGGATAACGCCCTAAACTGAAGTCTGGATCTGACTCAAGCACGGGCAATTTCCTGGATAGAACCTACTTGATTCGTTTTTCTATGTGAGGATAAAATTATAAGGCCATGAAGACACCAGGTAGTTCAGGATCCGCACAACGGGATTGAATTTTCTAAAGATACGACGTGTCTCTGGTGAATCAAAAGATACAGGTAATTGGATTCAGAGTAGGAGTCCAAACTTTCGAGCCTCATCTAGGCATCTCGAAGTTAAAAGATGCCAGGAAAGTATTCCGGCAGACTTTCCCGTCAGGGTGATGATTACTTCAAGGGGCAACGAAATTCCGTGAGCTGCAAAAATATGGGAATGAATTGAGATAGTTTGTGTTGTGAGAACACACGCAAAAAAATGCAACCTTTAAGCCTAAATTTTATATTTCTTGCGCGAAGGTTTTGCATCAAAGAGCATTGTGCGGATACTTGGTTTAGAAAACACCGGTCGCAACAACCGTCTTACGTGAACCGCGATGATAGCACTAAGTGAGTTTCAGGGATTCAGTGATTAACGGATTGATACACAGGAGCAAGGATTATGCCCAAGATTCGCGGGTCGCTTTTGTACTTGTCCGTCAGTGGATGTTGTTCACCTGAAAGGCACAAGTGAAAAAAGGGTGTAGCACTGCTCCTTATGTTCTCAGCGAGGGGCAGTATGCTTGCCAGCGCGAGAATAAGCATAATTAAATGTCTAATAGTGCTTTAAATTGGGTTCTAGAAGAAGCGTGTACAACCGTCGGAGGAAGGTCATTCCACGCAGCTACTACCCGAAATGAAAAAAAGTTTTGTCTAATGGATGTGTGTGCCCTGAGCTTGAAGATTTTATTACTATGTCCCCGCCGGGTGTCTGCTGGGTCAACGGTAAAAAACCTGTTTGCCAAGCTTTGTTCAAACAGGGCGTAAGTAAGAATTAGGTCCCCTCGGAGGCGACGG